CAATTGATGTATTTTGATTGGTTGTAAAATATTAATTAGGCGTCGTCAACTACGTCCGAATGTACCGACCCAAATTTTGACCTCCAGTTGACGCCATAAAATGTAAACATGTTTACGAGCCTCCCCACGTGACCAAGAGAACTAATAAAAACGAAACTTCGACGCGACTTGGTTAGTGGGCACTCAAAATATTGAAACCGATTCACTTGACTTCATTGGAAATCAACACAGCAAAAGAGACGAACTTTATCTTCAATACAACAACAAACTTTGTCAACCATCTCCAGGCTTAACGCTCACTCCCATAAAATATTCCATTCCACAAGAATCTCTGGTTAATGAGCGATAACAATCAGTGAGTCAAGAACAATACTTTTTTTTCTATTTAATACACAAAAAACATCTGTTTAATTTTCCTATAAAACAAATATAGCTAACTAACTAAACCATGTCATTTTCACACATACAGTACAGCAGCTCAAATTCTTTCAGTAACACACACACCAAAGAACTCTATTGTGTTTATCAACTTTTGCACTATATATTATGTATTTGTTGTGTTTATAAAAAAATATTTATTGTTGAACAAATTCACATTTTCTTCTACTTGATTATTTCTCTTGTTGTTGTCTTTGTTACATTTGATATTGTAAAAATTGTAGAGGGTCAGTTTTTATTTCTATTTATAACCAATACAAATTGGCTGACCTACTATATAATAAAAGCCTCCCTGAATGACTTGTTCGTTCCCCGTTTCGTAATACAGACAAAACCGACCGAGATTCTAATCGAGCTTTCAGATTTGACATTGAAATATGCAGTTTTTCTTCTTTTTTTTTAGATCCGCATCAACACAGACATCGTCGGGATGATGTTCGAATCTAAAGATTGTCGGTTTCTGAAATTCACGCAGATGAAATTCCAACGCTAAGCCAGGATTTTTGGTAATAAGCTCAAAATGAGACTTGAATCATTCCGATGGGATTGCAGGAATTTGATACGAGATTTGATTAGAGAAGTGATCCATGAAAAAAATTCCCTGCATTCATCAGCAGTAATCAAGGAAGGCCGAGTCGCTTTCTTGTGTAATGTATTCATGTAATTAATTCATGCGATAGCTAGTATAGTCTTATTGTTTGTATTAGGTTGATTTTTTTTCCCTCTGCGTGTGTGTGTTTGCTTGTATGTGCATGTGCATGTGAATGTATGTGATATATATATATACGTGTGTGTGTCTGTGTGTGTGGATTATAAATCTGACTGTTCTTTCTTTTTATTTTGATATATATATATATATATATATATACAATTACAATATATATATATATATATATATATATATATATATATATATATATATATATATATATCCAAATGCAGTACCATCATTGGTTGCCACCTGAAGAAACGTTGATTTAACGTTGAAACAAAATGTACAATTTTGTAATGGGTATTTACATGTTCTGATGTAACAGTGCATAATATATATATATATATATATATATATATATATATATATATATATATCAAGGATTCTATATATACTAAAAGATGGTGTGACCAACAACTTGCCAGACGACTTAACACCTTAGACAAGAAAAAAATCCCGAACAAGGAAAAAAAAAAGACCAAACGGTAAACCTATATACGCATTAAAGTGCTTAACGAACAGACTACTCAGACAACAAAAACGCTTATATATATATATATATATATATATATATATATATATATATATATATATATATATATCATGTGACAGCATATAAAACGCACTTTAAAAAAAATGGCTTCAAAATCGCACTAGTCTTATGCGCGAAGTTGAGGTCTCCCATTGGCTAATTTTATCCCCACAACTCACTTCCGTAGGCTATAATTTTCTCAGGTGGTCACTCCTGGCGAGCCGTACTCTATAATGATATTATTCATTTCAAAGAAGAATCGGCAATATTGTTGGTCCTGATCTGGCGGCTCGGCTCTAGTCACTTTCACAACGGTGTAAGGTTTCCTCTCTGTGTCTTTCATGGTAATTGTTCGGATAAGCTCTTCGACGTGATACCTGGAGTTTTGAATTTATGCGTCTAGATCTCATCAATTTACAGTTTAGATGGCTAGATGTAACCGTAAGTTCTATGCTAACAGCTTCTTTTCTCGCACTTCAAGCTTGTGGACCTCCCTTACTGCTCCATGCTTTCCAGTCAACTTTAATCTTCAAAAATTTAAATGCAATGTCAATCGCTATCTACTGTCCTCCTGAGTATTCTTTCCTCTTCCCGCACATTCGTAATGTTTCTATTCCTCATTCCTACGCAGCCTGTAACACTTTTTGTCTTTGTGGCTTTATTACCTTGCATGGGGTGATACCGATTTAAAAAATCATTGTTCTAATTCTTCTTATTATTATTAATATGATTCATAATCATTAATTATTAATATGAGTTATAATCACGTGTCAGGATATAACCAATGATCGAGGGCAAACGAAGGATGTGATTTCTTTTGTGATTTCCACTTAATTAAATCATAAACAGCTACTAACAAAAAATTTAAATGGATAAAGCTCTTCTCGAGATATGGGCTGTGCCTGGTAGTATTATTTTTTTGTATTTTCTAGAGCGATGGTGCACCAAGTATTTAGTTGATTTGTTCATCAATTTCTTTCTTTATCAGACCCAAATCTCCGGCCACAACAGAAACAATTGTCTTCTTCTTATCATCATTCTTATTCTTATTATTATTATTATTATTATGTTAATGTTGCACATTGAATTAATCAATAGAAAATCTGTTCTTGAGGAATTGTGTCAAGAAGACTCCTCACAACTCAAGAACATTTCAGAGAATCCTCGCAGACTAAATGGTAGCAGATTTCTGGTTTCAATACCAATTCTATCTAAGCACTTTTTCAATTTTCTGGATGATGTTTCAAGCGCACCCATTTAAATATAACCATCTCTTCTTCTCAAACAGCTTCTTCTCCTGCACTTCCCGTCTATGGAACTCCCTTCCCCTTACTTGCTTCTCCGATGACTATAATCTTCAAATATTCAAGTGTAATGTCAATCGACATCTGATACCCTGAGCTTCCCCGTTCTTCTCTATATCCTTTCCTCAAACACGTTTCTTTACTCTTGTTCTCAATCTTCTGTAACCCCTTGCGTGCTAGTGGCACTCCCGTCTTGCTTGGTGTGAACTGCCTTAAAAAAAATGTTCTATAGCTTCTTCAGTTGCCGAACCAGATCCTGATATTTCTATGTCTTCATTATTATTATTATTATTATTATTATTATTATTATTATAGTTGTCGTTGCTGTTGCCTTTCTATCCCGTTTTATTCCTTACTGGATCATTAATCGAAACCTCAAATTCTCCCTAAGTACTTTTTTAATTTTCTAGGTGTTGTTCCAAGTGCACCTATTACTGCAGGAATTACTTCAAAAAATTATGTTTCATAGCTTCTCAAGCGTTCTAGCCAGATCCTAGTATTTTTCTATCTTTTAACTTTCTTTGGAGTCCACTCTTATATTATGTCGCAAAGTCAATAATTTGACACTTGCTATTCTCCTTCTCTATAACAATGAGGTTGGCTCTTCGAGCTTCAATGACACGATCTGTCTAGACTGGGAAATCCCATAATATCTTGTGACTGTCAATTTCTACAACTGTCTCACTTTCTCCTTTTGAAGTCGATTACTGTTTCGGTAAGTTGTTTTCTGATTCATTCAAATTTCGAAAATCAAGAAATATTGAAATAGATAGATAGATAGATAGATAGATAGATAGATAGATAGATAGATAGATACTTCATAGCTATCTATCTATCTATCACACTAAATCTAATCATATTTATCACACTAAATTCGTTCATAGCTATCTATCTATCTATATATATATATATATATATATATATATATATATATATATATATATATATATATATATATATATCGAGTCATTGAAGCTCGGAGACCCGACCTCATTGTTATAGCTAAGGAGAATAGCAAGTGTCAAATTATTGGCTTTGCGACAGGATATAATAGTGGAGTCCAAAGAAAGTTAAAAGATACAAAAATATCAGGATCTGGCTAGGACGCTTGAGACGCTATGAAACATGATTTTTTAAGTAATTTCCTGTAGAAATCGATGCACTTGGAATAACACCTAAAAAATTAAAAAACGTACTGCGATAGATAGATAGATAGATAGATAGAGAGAGAGAGAGAGAGATATGAACAGGTGTGATGGATGGTGCCTTGCACAGGATGAATTCCAATCTAAAAAAAAAGGAAAATAATACAGACGCGCGCGCGTGTGTGTGCGCGCGTGTGTGTGTGTGTGTGTGTGTGTGTCCACCGTACGAAAATTCGAGAGGAATGGGTTGGATCTATGCAAATGCTTATCTAAATATCTAATCTCGCATAAGCTGCTCCTTTTTCAAATGAAACTTCCTCAACGCTTCGAACGGATGGCGGTGGCGATAAATAATGTATGTAAAGATAAGAAAAAGAGTAAATAGAAAAATTTGTTTTTAAAAACCTGAGTACAACTCGACCGCCACCCACTGTTTAGTGATTTAGCGTTTCATGTCCGAAACTCAAATCAGTGACCTTATCAATGAGAAGAAAAAATATGCTTTCTTTTTGGTTGTCTGTTATTTTCCCGAAAGTCAAAAACTGCGGAAATCGGTCTGTTCACCTGTCAGTTGAAATGGATTGATTGATTTCCCGATTTCGTTTTTCGTTCTTTACATGTCGTAAGTTGTTCAGTAGTCAAATCAACTCCATCAGTTGGCATCAACTGAACAAAAAAAATAAACTTTTTTTTTTTCTTTTAGTGTGTATGAAAAAACATTTTCGTTTTGGTAGATATATTTACTCCAAAGCTTATTTCCCGAACACACGCAAATACTTTCTATAGCACCAATACTTACTGCTACTACTACTACTACTACTACTACTACTATTACTATTATTATTATTATTATTATTATTATTATTGCTTACGGCTGTATCACGTTGAAACGCCGGTTCTCGTACCATCGCCGAAGTTAAGCAAAGTCGAGCCTGGTTAGTACCTAGATGGGTGACTGTTTGGGAAAACCTGACGCTGTAAACTTGGATGTGCGGTACTTTAATGGATAATGGCTCGGAACTGGAAATCGGAAAGCCGAGTTCCAATTCCATTCAAGTTTGTTATATTTAATCTACGCGCAAATGTCCTTACGAATTTACATCTCCCCTCCCCACTAGCTATGGATTAATTAGTAGGACTTGTACCAGTAAATCGTGATTATCTCCCTCAAAAATTCTTACAGTCTAAAATTATTTTCCGACTTTAAATAACCTGCAAAAGGTTGATTAGCCATAAAAAAAAATTAGTCATTCAATCAAACTATTATTATTATTGTTGTTTTTGTTTTAGTGTGTATCAAAATTATTTTCGTTTTTATAGATTTCTACTCGAAAGTATATTCCATTAACACATCTAAAGACGATCTATAAATCCACTAAATTATTACCATATTTTAATTCTGGTTGTTCCTTCGTTAGTTAGCGTGCAGGTTGAGCACTGTAATAACTAGCCTGTCCCCTGTCCACAAATTCTTGTTTTATCGTGTACGTTGAACGCTGTAATAGATTGTCTTGTCCCTTGTCCACAAATTCTTGGATTAGCGTTTATGTTGAGCTCTGTAATTGTTTGCCTGTCCCCTGTCCACAAATTCTTAGTATAGCATCAACAGAGACAGTAAATCACTACCCCTATTTTTAACTTCCGGTAAGCCTTATTCTGGGATGGGTTAAAGCTGAAAGAAAGAAAGAAAGAAAGAAAGAAAGAAAGAAAGAAAGAAAGAAAGAAAGAAAGAAATAGAAGAGGCGATAGAGATCTAATATGTTTAATTACTGCTTCATCGAAATGGAAAACCTTGTTAATTTTTAATCTCGTCATTTGTAGCCTCTTATTTAAATAGTGCTTCTGTATTCATATATATGATTGCAACACTTAAAAGTTCGTAAACTCAAATATTTAACAATGCTACAGGAGGATTTCCAGGAGTATTTTATAGACATGAAACTTTCAAGAAGCTTATTCAATCGTTAACTTAAGAATTATGATTCATTAGAAAATTCAAATAGGAAAACCGTTAAATTTCCACGTGTATTTCTACTTATTATTATTATTATTACTTTAAAAATTTATTTTTGACCTGCATTTTGTTTTATAACAACTTGCCATAACCGATGACTCGAGGGCAAGCGAAGAACGTGATCTTTTTTGCTGTTGTTGTTAATTATTTTTTCCACTTAATTCAAAAATAGAAAGATATGAACAAGAAAAAAACATAAATGGACAAAGCTCTTCACAGGATATTGGCTGTACTTGAAAGAACTATTTTGGTGATTTCCAGGATAGATGGTGCACCAGGGATTTTGTAGAACTGCGGTTGAGTTCCTTTCTTTATCAGTCCCAAAACTCCAACCACAACAGGAACAGTTTTAGTTTTTAAGAGCCACATTTTTTTCTATTTCCATTTCCAGGTTATTGTATTTGCTTAGTTTTTCAAAAACCTCCGCGAAGATGTTTTGTCACTTGTTACGCTCATGTCAATCAGAGTGCAAACTTTTTCTTTTTTGTCTTTGATAATAATGCCTGGCCGATTGGCCTGGTTTGTTCAGCTATTATTATTACATTATTATTAGAGAGCAGCACAACAACAAATTGATGCTGGGGTACAAATATACGAATCTCAATATAACCATGATGAAAACTAGTCCCAAACTATCTTATATAGTTATGACATGCATCCTTGTATATAACCTTATTAGACGGAGTATCTACTTGTTGTTGTTATTATTATTATTATTATTCAGTTCTCAGCCATTTTTTCTTTTTTATTTATCTATCTCAGTCACTTCATAGATAACTAGATATGAACATACTGAGATAGATAGATAGATAGATAGATAGATAGATAGATAGATAGATAGATAGATAGAAAAAGAGAGAGAGAATCTATCTCGTTCAGTCTGCGCATATCTAAGACTGTTCATATCCATGTATCTATCACACTAAGTCTGTTCATATCTATCTATCTAAGACTGTTCATATCCATGTATCTATCACACTAAGTCTGTTCATATCTATCTATATCCTTCTCCTCTTTCTCTCCCACTCTTTCAATATTTCTTGCTTTTCAAAATTTGGACGTATCAGAAAATAGATTACCATAATAGTAATCGACTGCGAAAGGAGAAAGTCAGATCGGATGAACTGTTAATTTCATTTCGTCGCTCAGTGTCAGACGAAAAAGTCATCCGCTGATTGTTACAAATACGACCTACTCAACTGATAGTTAAGTCCGAATAGGAAATGATTGCCTGGCTGCACGCTCGGCTGATGGGACAATGGAAAGGCGATTATAGTGGCCAATGAAACAAGGAGTGAGAGACAATTAAGCAATAATTTGAAAAGAATTTTCAGACTTCAATTTGCGACCCTAAAGGCTCCATCGATTTCTGTTGCGTCCAACAAATTAATCTGGACATTTAACGACTGGATCTTGGAGACCTGAGGTGGTTTGTCATTGATTTGTATAGAATTTATCGGCTGAAAAGATTTGGGGATAATCTTTTGTGTATTAAATTGAGGGAAATGAACTTAACTGAAAGAAATAAAAAAATCACTTTCACAAAATCTCTATGGGGTGGGAGAACATGAATCCTCTTCTCCAGCTATGGGTTAAATAGCAGGCTTGGTTGCGTGCTCTAGCTGTGGATGGTAGCCAGTCTAGGACTACTCTGAATTGAGAACTGAATTTTCTTTTTTATTAAATCATTTCACCCCCCTTCCTCAAACTAGGTGATAAAGCCAATAAGATGCGAGGGGTTACTGAGTGTGATAGGAATTAAGAAAACGGAATGTAACGTTTGACAATGCTTTTAAGTTTTTGAAGATCAAAGTTGACTAGAAAGCAAAACTGTTGGCATTTCACTGGTTTAATTTCGTCCGAAAAGCTAAGTAATTACCGCTGTAAAAAAGGATAATTCAGTGAAGTGATACGGCGTGAGAGAAAAAGAACGAACCAAACCTTTGATATCCAAAGCTTTTATGGGTACAACAAAAGAAAGAGAAGAAAAGAAGAAGGTTTACAATAATAGTGCTGCAAAAAAAATTGTACTTTGCGGGCTTATCTTATCAAAGAAAAGAAACATCCTGTTAACAGTTCTTTGAGGTCTTGTGATTTCTTGTTGTTGTGGTGATGGCACGAAAATGTCTCAGTGTCCGAATTTCCTGAAGAATGAGAAGATACTTCTTCACTTGAAGTAGGATCTACAATCCCGGGTTCCACAGATCTGTTGGTAAGTTTTTGTTGGTTTTTTTTTTGTTTTTTGTTTTTTGTTTGTTTTGTTTTTACGAGAGCAGTGTTTTTGTACGTGCTACTCGTACGTGAGAAAGAGAAAGAAAGATTCAGACATGATGTGCAGATCGGGACGAAGCAGCTTCAGTAAGGGGTTTTCTGATTGGTTCTGGTTCAGCCAATCACAGCGATCGTTGTAATAATTCCCAGAGGCCCGTTCAAAGTGGGGTTACTCCGAAAGACCAGTAATAATTTCAATAAAACACTAGAAGAGTTCCACAAACCTATCTGCTAATGTAAGTACTGTGCTTAAATTTGTAAAGTCGAGGTACCAAAGAGGAAATCTCGTTGGTCGATGACTCTACTATGTTTCCCAAGAAGTCATGGCAATTTATGGATTATAGAGAAAAGGAATCTGGCGAGCCATGGTTGCCTATATTCTGAATATGGCATTTAAAAAGGGGGAAAATTAATCTTTTATTAATTCACATCAGGCTAAATTTTGTGTGTGTTCCCCTACTTGATTTACCAAATACAAAAATGAACTTCACTGAAAGGAATAGAAAAAAAAACTTTTCTTTGTTTTCCTCCGGATAAATCAGAATTTCTGAATCGTTGTTAACGTAACCAAATGAAACTTGAGAACGCTTACTCATTAAAATTTATCACACTATAATCCAGTAAATGTCTTTCTGTCGGCCTGTCTGTCATTAGGTAATGGGACAAAATGCCAACAGACGAAAACCCAGTCTCTTATTGCAAATGTAGACAAAATCCCACTCTTCTATATAAAAAGAAACAAACTTAACATTGGAAAATTTTCATTCAAATTGACGTAAAAATAATAATAATAATATCCAATATATACACTTACATGAATTGGGATCAAATATGGATCAGAATCCAACAGAATGATAACATAAAGAACAAATAGGAAACGTTTATCAATCTAACATGTTTCACTTTTATTAAAGCTTCATCAGAGTATGAGATATGGGGAAAAAGAAGAAATTCTGATATTTTTATTTTTGTGTTGTTTGATTTTCGTTGGTTAATCATGTTTGAAGTGCATTCGAATTCTTAAACAAACGTTAGCATAATTTATGGCGTTCATTTGAAGTTCCAAGAAATCAATGGATTCCAAGTCTGATTGTAAAAACGTAAATATTGCATCTAACAATTACATTGAATCAATAGCTTCATCCACCGCAAGGAAAGTTGGTTCCTTGTGCCGCGACAAAAGGTTTTTCTTGCTCATCCTTCAAATCTATAAATCAATCATTCGCCCTTACATGGAATACTGCTGCCATATATGGCCTGGTGCCTCCGCTTTAAGGTCCTCGACAAGATCCAGTGACGTATATGCAATGTAATTGGCCCTGATCTGGCATCTCGTCTATAGTCGCTCTCTCACAGACGTGCCGTTGCCTCCCTCTGTCTTTTTTACAAATACTTTCACGGTAACTGCTCCGACTTTCGCTAGTTCCCAGACTGCATGAATTTAAGCGTGCTACTAGGCTGGCATCTCGGTCCCACCCTTTCACTGTCGAAACGGTTAAATGTGTCCGTCTCTTCTACTCCAATAGCTTCATGTCACGCACCTCCCGTCCGTGGAATTACCTTCCTCTTACTTGTTTCCCTGATAGCTATAATCTCCCACTATTCAAATGTAATGTCAATCGACATCTCCAGATACCTTGATCTATTCCCTGTCCATATCTTCATCCTTTCCTCTATTACGCCTCTTTACTCTCGC